CACAACTATTCTTGGTTTTCAGTTCTTCCCAAGCGATATGGATATATCTTCTACCGATATATCTCTTTAGAAATTGTCCTCTGTCCAGATCCACCATCAATGGTCCACCTACATATTTTTTTTTAATTGAATCTCTAGAGGTCGGTTGTACGACGTGTGAAGAGCGGCATTCACCGGATAAATCCTTATCCAGGAAAAATCTCATACAAAAACTAAGGATTGGATAAGTTTCACCGGTGAATAAATTTATCCACCCTTTTGTACAACCAGATCTAGACCCAGGAATAGTTGAAAACCAGGAATGGTTGATTGGGGGTTACTCTACATTGTACATCGACACTTCAGAATAACAGATTAGACTAGACCTCCATGTAAGACTCAGCCATGCTGGTTATTCTTGTGATTTCGCTTCACGGATTAAATAAAGTCATTCGAGTGGGTTTTCCTGTTGGACGAATACCTTGATCCAAGTCCAAAATGTTCCGAAAATATGGCGAGGAAATCCCAAAAACTTTCGCAGTTTAGCATTGAATCATAAGAACACTTATCAATCAGTTTGTTAAAAGACTATTTTGTAGTTTGCAATTCTACTTGGCCTACATGGGCCATTCAAATCCGAAAATAAGCTGAAAAAATGCAGAGGAAAGCCCGAGCATTCAAGGGAAAGATTTCGCATTATTTAGAATTGAATTCATAAGAAAACTTATCACACCAGTTTTATATCTTATATAATATTATTTGTAGTTTTTTTCAAGTTTATTTCTAGTTGATCATCTACATATCTTAGTATTAAGGCGGTTAGATTAGAATTTCGAGTTTTACACATTTCTTTATATATTCACTTTATAATTCTTTAAGCATGAAACTGCAATATAAAAACTTAGTTGTTATAGTTGTTAATTAAATCAGTGTAAACGATTTTTTGAAAATAAAGTATTTCTAAAATCAACGGCAAACAGCTTTGTTTATCGACCCAAAGCCATAACTGATATACAGGGGCCTGTAAGATACGCAAAAATCGAGGGTTTTTTATTTATTTTTTATTTTTTTTGGTGTTGTTTTAGTAGAGCGCCTACTAAAACAACAATTAAGCCTCTCCTTAAAAAGCAGAATTTAACCACTGAAGAATTTTCTAGTTTTCGACCTATCTCTAACTTAAAGTTCTTGTCAAAGGCTATTGAAAAAGTTGTTTCACACCAGCTGATCGACCATCTTGAGAGAAATAATATCAATGTACCATTGCAATCTGCTTATAAGAAAAACCACAGCGTGGAAACTGCTCTTCTAAAAGTGCAAAACGATATCTTGCGTGACATAGATATGAACAAATCAGTTTTTCTTGTCCTTCTAGACCTTTCTGCTGCCTTTGACACTGTAAACCATGATATTCTCTTAAATCGGCTATATACATCTTTTGGAGTTAGAGACTTAGCTCTTAAATGGTTTAAATCCTATCTTAGTGATAGGCAATTTTATGTCAGTGTCCCGGAAGGTAAATCTTTTTCTCGTTCTTTTGATTGTGGTGTTCCTCAGGGATCAATTCTAGGACCTATCTTATTTTCATTATATATNACAGAGATAAGAAAAATACCCCCTCCCCTCCTCCCTTCTCCCCCTCCACTTCCCTACTTAAGTCACTGAAAGGCATTTCGTTTTCCCAGCAATCCTRTTTTCCAGTTAATTGAAGAGTTTTATCTTCTTTTCTATTGGTTTTCTACACATTGGGCAATCGCGCAACGACTCGCAGCAKACRTCACAGGTGCTATGCCCGCAAAGAAATGCAACCGTTCGTTTGTTTTCCATGCAAATCGCACAAATCTGCGCCTCTTCCATCTCTTGTACCTTGGCTTGGAGGTAGAACAGCGAGTCCATGTTTTGACCGTACTTTTCGGGTTCTTGTTTAATAATTAATCCATCTGAAACAAAAGGAAATGATGAAATATAACTGGACTGACAAGCGGAGTCACAAGAAGTTATATTATAAGACTGCTCTGCTCTGCTCTGCATATCGACTTATATAAGACCGCTCTGCCCTGCTCTGCTCTGCTCTGCATATCGACTTATAAGACTGCTCTGCTAATTTTCAATGTTCTAGTCTTTCATCTTTTAATCCAGGACAGGCATGCGCAAACGGAAATGTAATATAGTTAGAATGTTATCTAGCGGTTAAAATCCCATACAAATTTTAAGAAACAGATGAATTTAAACGGTGGATAACTTTATCCACACTTTATCAACCGATCCCAGGACTGGCTGATGTGGGGAATATTGAACACATGTAGTGCGCATGCGTATAATATTATTACCAGTTGTTGTCTTTCTGTGTATGGTTTTCTGACAAACAAAACACTTTTTCATGCGGACGCAGCATTCTAAACACAAGACAAGACAGGAAAGAAGTCAAAGTAATGAAAACCGTTGCAGTTGATACACTAAAATCGAGAAACATATACCCAAATCACGATAAAACACTGGCAGCCCAACCTTGTTCTTTGATCTCTAAAATACGATCTTTTTCGATATAATTTACCAAATAGTAGTACAAAGATAAATTTTCCAAACACATTTACCAAATTAATTTAATTTAACGAATACATTCTTCAGGTGTTGTTTAGTTGTCCTAATTACAAATAAAGTCTTATAATTTCCCTTCTGTGTTTAGGACAACTAGACAACACCTCAACAATGTATTTATGTTAAATTATATTGAAAAAGATCGTATTATAGAAATCAAAGAATGAGCTTGGGCYGCCTGTGGAATAATCAGATGATATTCTCCAGTATAAACACTGGCTTCGATGTTAACAAACCTGAGCAAACAATCACATGCAAACATGGTTCAAATATCACATTTGCTGTTGCCTCAGAACAGACTTTACATTCACTGGCAACAGACTCYTCTAGTTTTTTGGTGCTTTCAATTGGCGCCTAAAAAAATACAAATGATGTTGATAATGGTGGATTGACTGCTGATTAATATCATCAAAGGAAACACTGGCTGGTTGATTGGTTGATTGATTGAATGATTGTATGATTGAGTGAGTGATTGATTGATTGATTGGTTGATTGATTGATTGGTTGATTGATTGGTTGATTGAATGATTGATTGATTGAATGATTGTACGATTGAGTGAGTGATTGAGTGATTGAATGATTGATTGATTGTACGATTGAGTGAGTGATTGAGTGATTGAATGATTGATTGATTGTACGATTGAGTGAGTGATTGAGTGATTGAATGATTGATTGATTGATTGATTGATTGATTGATTGATTGAATGATTGATTAATTGAGTGACTGGGTGGATGACTGATCAAGTGTGTGGTTGAATGATCAAGTGAGTGATTGATTGATTGATTAGTTAGTTAACTGTTCGCCAAATGGTTGTGCAATTTACTGGGTAATTAACTTCAATTGGTTAACTGCAGAAATGATTGGCTGGCTAATCCACTGATTGATGCCTAAGAAAGTAAGTAAATCACTGGTACAACATTAGCCTCCTCCCCAGGCAACTCTTTTTTCCTCCTTTGGGCTTCCTTTGTAACGGTCATAATGGCTGTTAGGGACTAGTGATGAGAAAGAAAAAATAAGAACCCTCTCTCGCCCCCATTCTCCCTCTTTTGACAACCAAAAAAGACAGGAAGCCCGTGATTCTTTGTGATGCCTGCGGAGGAGGCTAGGACAACATATAGCAGATAATCCATATTTGTATTACCTTACATTCACAGCAAGCTTTAAACATATTACTACAACCCTGGCACACTACACAATGGCCACAAGGCTGAAACTCGCAATCGATAGGATTACCACAGAGTCGACAACTATTAGAGGTCGTCATAGAAACGGATGCTGATTTGCATTCCTGGGGAAGACTATAGAGAATAAAGGGCTGAGTACGTTTGCACTGAAAAAAGGCAACACAACTCTTAACCTAACATCTATCGTGATGAAAAATACTAATAATGGTTTTTAGCTGTTTTTTCGTGATCCATTTATTGATAATCGAATGTTTATATTTCATTCCATCGATCATAATTCAAATACACATCTAGTCACTGCGTTACGGATCATGATTTCAAGATGTCTTATATTGTAAAGCAATGAAACAAGCCTCTGTTTATCGGGAAAGGGAGGGTATGGGGTTAAGATGTGAAAAGCAGATGAAAATCATATAACGCTCCAAACTTCTACCATGAATGGATTTTAGTTTTATTTTGTACTCACTCTGGCAGCTTTGAAGAAGTTGTAGCACCTGCTCCCATCAATGACACCAAATCAGTATCATGGCACAGATCAGCAGCCATCTTGTTGTCATGGTTGCGAAGGGTTGGGTCGGCACCATGCTGCATCAGTAGACGAATGATATCTTCTTCATTGCTGTCGCTCTAACAATGACAAGAACAAAATGTGTTTTTGCATTGCTAATTTTTGATCATTTCCTTGAGATTCAGAAGAAGAAAGATTGCTAGACATATGAGGTACCACAAACATGATATGATTGTCCAAGGCCACAAGCCAGTCAAAAGACAAACAAACATTCAGTATGTCAGACAGTGTATATGCCCAATCTTTGTCAGTTATAGTGTGAATTGCAGTGCCATTATGCAATTTGAAAGTTCTTTTTTTGCCCTACAAATATCATTATTCACCATGTTGAGGCCATGTTTTCCACTGTGGAAAATGGAGATAACTAAATATTGTCATCCAAAATTTTCAGCAATTTGATTGCATAACAAAGTTGTCCATGATTCCAAACATAGAACTTACTGTGTTGCCATGGAAATAATGATTGGCAGCTGCAGTGTGAAGAGGCGTGTCACCAACATCGTCCTGTATGTTCGGATCTGCGCTGTGATCAAGAAGGGCTTTAACAATGTCTTTATGGGTTTTATCAACAGCTAATAGCAGTGCAGTTTGATGTTTATTATTAATAAAATTAACATCACAACCATTCTATGGATATTAAACAGAAAAAAACGGAATTAATAATAATAACAATATTGCAATAAAAAATTAACAAAATGTTTAGTTGAGCTTGGAAAAAAACTTATGCTAGATTTGACTGCAATGTCAATTCAATAACTAACTGACTACAGATTGCAGGACAAATTGCATGGCAGTGGATGGGGTTGCAATGGGTTGCATGTAAGTAGCTCTCAGGATTGCATAACATTGAGTTGCAAGACAACACATAACATGATAACAAGTTGTGTGACAAGGGATTGCATGACAATAGGTTGTGTGACAAGGGACTGCATGACAATAGGTTGTGTGACAAGGGATTGCATGACAGTGTAACATTATCACCTGAGCCAGTAAATGAGTAACCAATCCCAGATGACCATTGAGAGAAGACAGATGTAATGCAGTGAAACCATCATCTTTGGCTGAGTTGAGCAGCACTGGAGACTTCTGTAAAAGCACTTGCAATACCCTAGAAGAAATAAGATTGTAGTATTATGGGATCCCTGTGTTGTATTGGGTTACCTGTGGTAAATTGTTATAATGATACACACTAGAAAATGTGCAATGTTTAGGACTAAACATTGTACACTTTAATGCTTGTACTCCATGACATTGGTTAAACACAGGTAACCCATCATAACACAGGGAGCCCATAATGGAATTATCATACTGAGCACTATTTTGCACTATATGTTACATACATTTAATTAACAGTATAACACTTACTCTTGCCGTCCTTTAAGAGCTGCCCTGTGAAATACACTGAACCCTTGTTGATTGACAAGTGTCAAGTCACATCTATTGCTGTCAATCAACCTGATAACAATGTCCTGTCTGTCATTAGTAATCGCATCATGCAAAGCAGTATCGCCTGACGCATCCTGACAAATAGAATATGAAATTATATCAGTCAAAATCCAAATGGTGGAAATTAGCGKTGAACTAGTGTGAGCTGCATGGGTGTTTCTAAAGAAACAGTTGCGTTTCACATCTTTTTTACAGTGTTAAATTTATCAGTTAAACTTCCCTACCCCTCCCCCTGACAATTTTTTGGCTAACCTGTATATTGACATTACAGCCTGCGTCAATCAATATCTGTACCACGTCACCATGTCCTCTGTTTACTGATATGTGAAGTGGCGTAAAACCGTTTTTATTCAACATATCAATGTTGGCRTTGTGTTGGAGTAAAGCTGATGCTACCAGGGGCTTGTTGCTTTACAAAACAAAAGTAAATGTATATTATTTTTTGATGAATACTTGTAAAACTTGTTAGTTGATATTTTTTATCTGGTGGAAATGATTTTTGCTGTGTTCTATATTTTTACTATCTTTCTTTGTTCCTTTTGAAGTCTTTGTAAGATTCTCTTTTTCCATATTTTCCTTTCCTGCTTTCTTTTTTTTTAATTTTCTTTTCTTCTTTTCATCTCACTATAACGGCATTGAGTTCCTTGGTTTCTTGTCCCGTTTTCCTTTTCTTTTCTATTTCCTTCTCTTTTCCATTTTTTTTTTGCTCTAACACAATAGAGAGCTTAAGCATAATGTTCATGGCAAACGGCACAAAAGATCATGTGGCCTGCTTTTTGGGGATTTACTGTTACAGTTTTTGGGGATTTACTGTTACAGTTTTTAACGCGAGAGTGGTTTATTTTGGAGTTGCTACAATCGTGAAAAATCGCTCTTTCAAATGACTACCAAAAGGACTAGGTCAGGCACTAAATTCTTAGGTCATTGGTTCAGCTCTGCCGTTAGCTGTTTGCCGTCAACGTGATGCTTAAACTCTCTATTATCTGTAGAATTCACCTTCACCCTAATATGCTCTATGTTTCATGATAAACAATGAAAAAAAAATTTGTTTTTGTTTTTTATCTTTTATTATCCTCACCAAAAGGCTGAATAGTGAAGAGCTGTGTCTCCATCATCATCCTATAATCCAATAAATTGAGAAATAATCCATTAATTAATCATTAATAAATCAATAAATCATCTCCTTGTGTTATCCAGCTCACCTGCATATTACAATCAGCTTTGCTATTCAGCAACAAGTTGACAACATTAACATGTCCCTCATGACTGCTCATATGCAAAGCTGTTTTGCCCTGTTGATGACTATTAACCTGCAAAATCCAAATGAAACCATCTACACTTAAGGCGGCTAAACACGAGAAACAAAAACCCTCAACTTGGCGCAAAAAACATTGTTTCTGTTCAAGTTGAGCATCAGTGTTTCTCGTTTTTCACGATGTATTTTTGTTGCATAACAAGTTGACGATGCATGAAAAACGAGAAATACGAGCTAAATACGAGATACAAAAACCATCAACTTGGCGCGCAACATTGTTTCTGTTAAAGTTGAGTATCAAAGTTTCTCGTTTTTCATGCATCGTCAACTTGTTATGCAACAAAAATACATCTTGAAAAACGAGAAACTTTGATACTCAACTTTAACAGAAACAATATTGCGCGCCAAGTTGATGGTTTTTGTATCTCGTATTTAGCCGCCTTTAGTCGTACAATCTTAAAAGTTATAGTTTTCATTCTTTTGTGCTCCTGGTCATTTTCTATGGAATTCACCTCCATCTTCAATAATAGACATTTTTTCACTGAATGACTGGATGACAGTTTGTACTATTCATCCATCACATAGTACATCACTTTCCTCGTTTTATTTATTTTATTAATAAGATAATAATAATTAACATCAATGATACCTTACTGGGATCTGCAGCAAGAATGTCTCTWACTCTACTACAATGACCCTGGCCAGCGGCTTGCAGCAATTTTGATGTTATGTTTTCATCACTTATCTTCATCTTCCCAACAAGTGAAGTGACAGATGAAGTAGACAGACTTTGTRCAGTGGTGCCTTGGGRACTGGCCAAGCCTTGTGGTGAAGTTTCAGGAGCATCAATGACTGTCTTGGTAAGTATAGCAGGATTTAGTGTCCAGGAAGAGTTTCCAACGGACACCCTTATGTCACCATCTGCATATATCTTTAAGACTTGACCCTTCTTACCCAATATCTATTGAACAAGTGAAAAGCTGTCATCGTCATCATCATAATAATAATAATGATGATGATGATGATGATGATGGTTATAATTCATAATTGCACCTGTTTCATACTGTCAGTCCATTCTCCATGACTAGCTTGCAGTTTTTTCACCAAAGCCAAGTTATTCAGCACATAAATGTTATCATTGACTTGAAGTGTTTCTACCTAAAGGTACATAAAATCAATTCTAAATATAGCACATACATGTAGGATTATAATCATTATTTCTATAGCAAGGCTCCTATACAGTGCAGTTAACATAGATGTAGGATTATAATCAGTATTTCTATAGCAAGGTTCTATACAGTACAGTTAACATAGATGTAGGATTATGATCAGTATTTCTATAGCAAGGTTCYTTGCAGTTAACATTACTTGACTATAGCAATACTCAATGTGACGTAAGCCTTTCATGTGCCAACCAGAAGACGATTGCCTGTTAGAACAAAGCCACTTGTGAAAAGCTATTCTGAACATGGTTGGCACATTAACATAAGAATGAGTTTGTTATTAAACATTGAGTATCGCTATAGTTCTAGACCTCTCATTTTCATTGCTAGTAAAAAGTTGTATTGCACCTTTCAGGGGATACATCCTTATCCAGCAGATTAAATTCATTAGATTTTTTTCATTTATTTTTTATTTGCCAACTTTCAACAAAAAAAGATACAAACATTGAAAAAAAAAGTAATTTCTAAAATATATTGATAAAAAACATTGAGTTTTATAAGAAGTACTATATATTTGTATCTTTTCTCTACCTTCGATAAAGCCAGCGGGTTCACAACCATTTTACATGAGCTGGATAAAGGAAATGCCACTACGATTCCATTATTGCTGACAGCCGTAGAGTAGACAATACCTGTCATACCAATGACCTGGTTAGAAGAAAACAAATAACATCTCATTCAACTGGAACAGTTATGAAAAAGCATTATTTCCTTTCTACTTGTCTCATGAACTATTCTCATCATCAACTTACAGAATCCATTCTCTTGTCCCATCCACCACAATCTTTCTGCAATGACTTAAGAATGTCAACATCAAGTAAGATCCTGACTTTATCACCCTTTTTAAACTGATGCTGCAGAGAAGGAGGAATCGGATGGGCTGACGGCTGCTGTCTTAAAGGATCTCTGCTTGCTGGGAATGGATATCCAAGTTTTGGAAGATGATCTTTGTAATAATGTCCTCCCTCAGATGGTGAACTAGCAATAACATCAACCTAGACCAACATAAAACATGTTTAGAATTTCTTTGTACGCAGGCATAATTACTAAAAATAAATGAATCCTCTGCATTTACATGATGTTTTAATGCGACTCTACATTGATAATGGCCGCTTAGGCCGAAAGCTCGGTCGCATTAAAACAACATGTAAACGCAGAGGATTCATTTATTTTTAATAAAACATGTTCCATTATTTTAGGTAATTATTGGCAGTATACAGGATTTCCCCATCCCTCCCCCACAAGATTTGATGTGAGGAAAACATACACTGGCAAAGACATTCGAGGAGAAAAACAGCTGGCCATTTTGACAGATTATTTTACTTGTTGTGGTCAAAATTCAATATATTATGTGTTTTCTCTGATAAAATGGACAAAATTCATCCCATTATTGAGAATTCTAGATAATCTTTTCATGATTCTATAATTTTATTGATTATATATATGATATCAAAGAGGCAAGATTTTGCTGTAACTCCGAGTTTTTTTTTCTTTAATGGGATCAGCTACTTCCTCATACAATTATAATTTTATTGATTATAATTTAATAATCACTAGGGACCATCATATTCACCTTGCCTTTGTGACCACGGCGATACAAATTACCCTCACTATTAGACCAAGTTACTGACACTACACTACGAAACGTTTGATTCTCCCAGCCCTTTACATCAGTTACCAGTCCTTTCTCCTGTGGACCACCATCCTGGTTTCCCCAGTCCCAATCTGGTCCTCTTTTYACAACAGCTCCAGTGAATAATCCTTTGGATTGAATTTTCTGTCTTCCCTGCCTCTTGCTTACCATAACACTACAGGAATAA